TCCTGTACCCGGGCCCGCTGGTGACACGATGGAATTAAAAGAGCTCAGACCCTCACTTATATAGAGGTCGGAACATGTCATAAGTATAAATAGATACAAGCATAAATAAATGTAGGAACATGAATAAATACAGGAATAAATACGATGGAGTGTTTTCAGGGAGATTCAGTGTGTGTGCTGTGGCTCAGCTGGAAAGCAATTGACTCACGACCGCAGGGTCCCTGGTTCAACGACTGAACAATACGTCTTTTTTGTTGTTTATAAAAGCTACAGCTAAATGAGATAATGTAGTTAATAAATGTATTCTTTGATATGGTTTAGCCTTTCTCAGGCTACAACATAGTTACGTTTATGAATATTATTAAGGAATACAAATCCCTCTTTGCAATGTTTACCAGCCTCCTTAGGCTTTTCAATCACAATCATTCAACTGGAATAAAAACAATATTGTTAACATGAAAATATGATTTTATGTTCGTTGTTAAGAGTTATTCTAAGGGTTTACTCATTGGGAACTCGGTATGAGATAGAGTACACTATTGAGATGTCAAATCTGCCTGTTTTACACACTTTGACCAACAGGGGGGTTTGTGTTCAAATGAAGCCCATGATGAAGCCTCATGAGATGAACCCTTTTGCGAACCAATTGGCTGGAAAGCTTCAAAGCTTCATAAGGCTTCATCTCGCCATCACTACCCTACTCACCACAGGAAGAGGTTTTAGCACCTTGCTGAGCTTCAGTAATCTGCAAGGAAGCAGCAAGTAATACAATACTAGAAGAAATGAGACAACGTATCCTACATTTTAGTATTGCAGCCTACCTGTACCACAAACCATGAAAGGAGAGCCAAGGGGAAGAACATAGGGAACCAGGTGCATTTTATACCCTGCTCTAATGAGGGGAGTGTTTGGGGGAGGAGTCAGGCCCTGAGCTGCCTTCAGGAGCACTACTCACTACACTTAGCTAACAATTCCATTTGTTTATCAATTACTTTTAGCTAAGCATTTAGGTCTATCCAGCTAACTACTACCCAACAGCATCTACTGGAACTGTCATTACACTAAATGTCAACTCTTATCACATGCTGATTAGTTTTCAAACTCTAAATAGGTCTCAATAAAAGTTCAGCTGTTACAGCTTACACAATTTATTTATTTAGGCAATAAGTCAAGCTTCTCGACAATCTTAACACATCTACTGGCAACTACAAAATACCCACATACCCCTGGCTGGATGATACTGGTATGAGAGGTATGCAACTACAAAGAAATGTATACATCCAAGTACGCTATCAACCATTTAGCAATATACTTATTTATTAAACATCTTTAATTTGCATCATTTTTTAAATAAAGTTAAACTACTGGGCAACATGTAACTGCATTGGTTACATTTAGTTTTCCATTGAATTTGTCCGTAACTGCTTGAGTCCACTTTTTGTGGAGTTTTTTATAATCAAAATCGTTTCAGTTTTATCTGCTGACATCGAAAGATGGTTCTGAGAAATATCATGGAAATGAATCTGGTGGTCAAAGCATTTAAATTGCATTCATTTCTAAATAAAGATGCCACTGTCTGTTCCTTTAACTCAGGGGTGCCCAACCAGTCGATCGCGAGATGTGTCTAAAAATAGAACAACAATATTCTGTTTTATCGTTAATGTCCTATACCATAATCTTCCTGTGCCAGAATAATGCACTTGAACGCATCAAAGCTTTGTGATTGGCCGGCGTGACCCCATGTGTCGGGGCGTGGCTGGTGAGCAGTGGGCACTATTTCGCTGACGTTGTCCGTGTCAACAGGAGTGACAGTCCGCACACACACAAGACCGCAATTATGGCAGAAGCAAAAAAGCCCAAAATATATAAATTTGACTCCGAGTGGGAGGATGATTATTTTTGTATCTATTCCAATTCAAAGTCCATCTGTCTCATCTGCAATGCGAGCGTGGCTTTATCGAAGAAGGATAATTTAGGAGCGGCATTTCAAAACAGTGCACAAACGCTACGATACGGAATTCCCTCCTAATTCTGCCCTACGCTCCCAAAAGGTGAGGGAACTGAAAGGACAGCTAAATGCACAGCAGTCCATTTTCACCAGGCCCAACAACAAGAGCAAGGCTGAGCATCTTAACGTGTCAGTCACGTTCTTGCGAAACACATGTAGTTTTTCAAAGACGGCGAAGTTGTGAAAGAAGCATTCCTGAAGGCTGCCGACGCGCTTTTTGGGGACAGTAAAAATAACAGTAGCATTTCAACAGGTTTTTGATATAATAAAAACTCAAGTTAGATACCGTTATTAATCAGCTGTAAGTTTTTAGTTTGTTTGAACTTATTCATTATAATTATTGTACAAAATGGTATAAGAATGCAAACTTCAATTGATTATAGTCTATTATCAATTCAAGTTAAGAAACTAGTGTTGCTTGCATCCTATTTTAAAGGCATTTATTTTTATACTCTACTAAAATGCAACAAAAAAAGGGTTTGATTCTATTAATTTTGTCTTTTTTATTGCACTTTGGCAGCAGATTCCTGTGTAGCTTCAGATCTGAGTTGTCTTATTAGTAAGCCTAATTTATACTTTTGTAGCAACACTATTTGTATATAATGGCGAAGAAAGGGTTCAGAGTATTTTCTTTTTTTCCTGTGTCATATGTGGCAGCACTGTTCAATGTTTCTTGAAAACATTACCCACTGTAGTATGTGACATGTGAATAAACTCCAACTCTGTATCAACAACACTGTTGTGTAACTTCAGTTAAATACTTGTATATCTGTAGATTAGAAATAGGTAAGATAAAGGATCTGCAGTATTTTATGAAGTATTAATCGTACAAAGGTCAGTTTTATACAAGTAGAAGTGTGTATTTACCTGGTAGTAGGTTGTCAGTAATGGCTACGCTTCTCTATTTGGACTGGTAGATCTCGGCAGACTGGCAACTTTAAAAGTAGCTCTCAGTTCAAAAAAGGTTGGGCACCCCTATCTCTTTCTTTTAGTTAAAGTTTAACTAAAAGAAAGAGATAGAGATGTTTTTGGGGCATTTGATTGACCTGATGCTTTGAGAATGTAGTTTGGTCGGCTTTTTTGCCATGCATCACTAGAGACTGGTCAGATCTGGGCCAGGCCACTGGAGCGGCGGTCACAAAGTATGAACATAAAATCCTTAAAGGGTCAGTTCACCGAAATGACAAAAGAAACTAAACATTTCTGCCTTCTCCACTTAATCTCGATATCGAGATGTGCCAACTGTTTATTTGGCTCCGGTCTGACAATCTCTGTCTCCACCTCAAAGCAATAGAGTTACTTTGTTTTGATAGTAGTTCCAGTGAAACATGTTCCTTTTGAGATCTTCTGTATTATCAAAAGAATAGGAGCTTTCTTTCTCTAAAGACATTTAGCTGTTGAATATTTTTAAAGCTGAGACAACGAGTTGCTACATTTTCAATCAACTTATTAATTCATTAGTTAAAGGTGGGGTAGGTAAGTTTGAGAAACCGGCTCGAGATCGCTAGAATTTGAAAATACACAGCCGGAAAAAATCTGCCATTTCCTTATAGAGCCCCTCCTCCAACACACACGAACGCGCACATGACCAATGAGGGCACAGATGGAAGGCTGACAGGCAGGTAGGCCATCCAGTTATTTTAGCCGGGCCGGCTAAAATGATTGGTCGTGCTTTTTACAGTACTACGGCTTCCACAGATGACATTTTTTAATGGATTTTTTGTCAAAGCACTTAAGATATTCATTGCTATCGGGATGTTAAGAGCATTCCATGAAATATAACAAAAAGTATATCTCGAGCCGGTTTCTCAAACTTACCTACCCCACCTTTAAGGTTAGGATAAGATAAGGTAATTTTTATAGCATAAATGCCAAGCAAAATTGTTTTCATGTAATGTGACAAAAACTGAATACCTTTTGGTTGCTGACTGTGGACAAGAAAAAGCTGTTTTAAGATATCAACTAAACAGTTGTATGAAACTGTCCTTGCCATTATTGAACACTTATTCCTCCATATTTCTTTTAGACCAAACACGGCTAATTATAAACAATAAAATAAGCATTATTTGACACACTACCGTATTTTACATGCAACTTTTCCATGTAAGCTTAACCAGAAAGAGCAACACTAAGGCAATTGTTTTTCATTCTTTGCTGACCCTTTAACACACAAGTCAAAGCAATAAAATATAGATGTAATGGATAACATTTAAATTCATTTGTCCTTTAAAAAGGGCAGTAACAAAGTCGAGCAGCCTCTTAAAAGTAAACTAAAAAATACAAGAGCCCTCTGGGAAATAAAGCTTTGGCAGCTCTGAGCTTGTAGCTGTAGTAAATATTATATGACAGTGATTTTCTTCCACACAGTGAGAGTAAAATCTAAAAGTCTTGTCGGGATGTCCGTTCAGACGCCACAGCAAAAAATTATAAGGTGGTTTGAAAATTAGACCCTATTAAAGTTTCATAGTCTAGTGGGCAGAGTGAATACCCAGATGGTGAGCTTAGCTGCTGTTTTTTTTTTTTTTTATGTCCATCTCAGCACTTAGGATGCAAAGGCTTTCAGTGCCAAATACTTTGGGCAGCTTGACGTGATGAAGTGGATAAAAAGCCCTGTTAATTGAACTGGATCAATTGGATCTCCCTGGCCAAGGAGGAGTTTCCTAAACTTTAACCTATGTAAAGGAATACAGTATGGACTACTGACCCCTTTTTGATGTCAGTGATTGTCCCTTCAGGAATCTCTGATCTGCTCTGGGCAAGGATAAATTAAAGCTATAGTCAACCTTCACCCTTAGGGGGTAAAGTTATATTTAAAAAACAAGTATTCCTTCATGTTTCAGCAATACACCTGCCCAAGGGGGACCACTTACTGTCATTGCAACATTTAAGGAAGCCTCTTGGGGTCAAAAAAGTGCCTTATGGTAAGGAGATGTTTGGACATGGAGGAAAGGCATGGATGGATTAATGTATTGATTGATGGGTGAATACTCACTCGTCAAGGAGGCTGGCAAGGGTGGATGGTTGGATGTAATGGAGAGGAGAGGAGGGTGGGGAAGGCTAAATGAATAATGAGGATATGGAGGACTGATGAGACGTGCAATGTTGCGTACCTCTTCCTCCTCATGCTGCTGCGGCTGCTGACAGGGCTGCGGTCGGCTGACGGAGTGTGTGAACCCCGGTGCCTTCACCCGCCATCACCGCCTCCTTGGATTGGGTACAGCGTGGACTCCAATGCCTCTCCTCGTCCAGCTCCCTCTCTTCTAATCACAGTGACACCTTGGATGTGTTACGTCCCTGCTAGTCCTCATCCCCACAGGCAACAAACCTGCAGGCTTTTAGTTCTCCTCCTGCTGCGACTCCTCCTCTCCCCTGTCTCCTGCTCCTTGTGTCCGTCACAGCTTCCCTCGACCTCAGTACTTAATATGTTATGTTGGTTTACCCACTGTTGTTTCCTGGTCTCATTCTAGTTTATCTCACTCACAGGATAGGTTATTAAATGTAAACATGTAAGAGTAAAGCACCACAGCATCCACACATTCCCAAGCCCTAAGGAGGAGAGAGCAGCGGAAGACGAGCAGCGGGAGTGCGGCTGGTCCTTCACGATGCTCGGCAGGCTGATGTACAGTATCAGCGCAGTGAAAGCAATGGAGAAAAATGCGAAAAAAATATCCTCTCTCACATGTGAGTCCAATAAAGCTACAGAGAAAACATGTTCCTCATGTACTCAAGGTAAAAACAAAAACAACTAGTCATTTACTTTAACCCCCCTGCTTGGGTTTTTGCCAGTCCGCTGCTTTGTGTTGTTTTTCCAGAGTCTTCACTCCGCTCCGTCCTGAAGCGACCCTGGTCGTATTTCCTAGCCGGGCAAGGGAGCTGCTGGCCCGGGCAGGCAGGCTGTCAGACACCGCTCTACTCTGACAGAACTCTACCACGTCACTGCAATATTAGGGGAGCATCTCACGTGACCCTGTTAGACGCTCATGCTGCGTTCAAGGGGTGTGGGTGAAGCTTACACTCTCCAAAAAGAAACATAATCACGGACACACTAACAAACACAGTATAAATACTGATATCCTATTATATTCTTGTTTAAAACTAGGACTATAGGAGCAATTTTGTCAAACATAAGATCTTGAGACATCAAATTAATGGACTTAAACATTTTGAAGATACTCAGTAAACATTTGATAAATACAATTGTGTTTTTTATATTTTCAATATTTTTCATTGTTTACTATATTTTGTGGAAAGAAAATAAATTCCCACTTTTTTCGCTTCCAAATTTGTATGCAAAAAAACTAACCCAAAACGTACCTTGCATAGGTCTACTTAAAAGGGAGTAAAAAAGCCATAAGAGAGAGTGTTACATCAGCAGATGGTTTTGGTATGAAATGTTTAAAAGCAATTTGGTGTGTTTACATACTTCTGGCCACTTCTTTTAATGTATTCCATAGAAAAATGTATGCCCAAGTTGATGTCTTATTTAGGACAGGTCGGTCACTCATCCCTAACATCCTATTGCAGATTAGTGATTATACATAATATTGTCAGAATTCAGCAGAGTAGTGTAGCTATGAGGATCTCTTCTAGAAATAGAAAATAAGACAATTTCAAAGCAGTGTGTGAGCTAATATGAATGAACTAATTCTTCCCATATTTCCCTTATTCACGTGAATGCAGCATCTCTCTTTCCTCTCCCCCTCCTCTCAAGCCAGCCACCCTGCTCCCCCTCTGTGGGCGGAATAAAGGGGATTTAACTCCGTAAGAGCATGGTGGCCAGTGGTTGTCTGGTAACAGCTGGATTTGCTACCATTGTGCTCTTTGTTTAACCCTGCCTGGCTGCAATGTTTCTCACATGGACAGGACCATTTTAAAACACATTTTTGCCCTGTTTGTTACATTAGTAATGCATCATTATGCACACATTCATACCAACTATATTTAGCATGCTTTCATATCTAGAATGATTGCAAAAAACAAACACTCCAGGTCCTTGACAGCACTGACTCTCTACCTCGTCTTCAGCATAATGATGAAACTATACCTGTCTCATTAAGGACTTAAAGACAATGCGAACCCTTCATCAGCCTTCAGTCATGTTTACACAAATGCAACTCCAGAGACCGCAGTGTTTCTCGATAAGCAATGAAAGCAGCTTGTCTCTTTCCTTCTCTCAGAAGAATTGGAGCATATGGAATTATGGCTCATGCAAAAGCAGCTCACTTCAGGGAAAGTAAGCCGATGGGAGAGCAGCCCCGTGCAGCACTGTAAATATTGTAAGGTAGCACCACAGCATAGGAGCACAGGTGACTGAATAATTAATAGGAGCTGTGTCTTTGACAGATATACTTTGGAGGCTATTAGCTCTGCTACCTGGCCAGTGAGAGCGCATTTGTCAAAAGAAAGTAATGCCGGGGTGATGATTGATTTCCTGAGGCTGCCAGGTTAGAGGCAGCGTGCCTCTGTACATTAATATCAGGTGGCATCTATTAGATAGGTGACTTTCTCAACTTGTCTGGCCCAGTTGCCTCTGCAAAGACCAGCATATCAAAATCTAAATTGTCATCATTAATTGCTGCTTGGGGAGTATCTCGGAACACTACGTCTGCCTCTCCTGCTGTTACTCAGAGAAACCAAGTCTGCTGTACAAACACAGTACATGGATGTCCTCCTGTGCAGTAGACAAAAGGCAACATTCCCCCATAGACTGCATGTCAGAAGTGAAGGTAAATACCATGATGCCAACCATTGCTTTTTGGACTACAACACATTAAAGTCATAGACCTTTTCAAGTGGCAAACAAATTGACAATTGTCTTTCATGAACTGAATCACTCATTCGATCAAAGAATGATACAAAAAAAATGACCAAAGAATGGCCAAAGAACGACCAAAGAATGACCAAAGAATGGCGTGTCGTAGTGACCTCTCAATCACAAGCTAGCCATGTTCTAAATCATACACGTTACTGTCTATTTTAACCAAAATGGGATAATAAGACTTGAAACTAGCAATTGAGACTATAAACATGTAAGAAAAATGTTTAGAGAATCAATTCAGTGAGGAAAAGGATCATTTTTTAATAGACTTCTATACAAGCGGATTTCATTGTGCAAATATTGTAATCTTTATTCCATCTATTGGAAAGTATGTAAGTTCAAGCAACGTCCACAATGACTTAACTTTTTCAGACCTCAAGGCACACAAACTTATACGTTATAACTTCTTCAATGTTTTCTTAAATGTGATGACTTGGCAATTTGTTTTTATAAAGAGGATTGTACCTTCTGTAATGGGATCTCCTTTTATTTCATGAAATACAAACAGCCATGCCTTGAAGTGAAAGTCAATAAAAGCATGTCTGTGCTTTGGCAAGAAGTGAGGTGCTATTCGCAATATGTGCCTGCTAGGTGAGGCGAGGTGCCCCTGAGCAAGGTGCTGTCCCTACACTGCTCCCCGAGCGCCGACCTAATGGCTGCTCACTGCTCCTAACACTAGGATGGGTCAAATACAGAGATCGTCCGGCAGTGGCTGTCCGGCAGTGGCTCAGTCAGTAGGGGCTTGGACTGTGAGCCGTAGGGTCGCCGGTTCAAGTCCCCGACCAGACCTAAATATGGAGTGTGGACTTCTACTTGGAGAACCCAGTTCACCTCCTGCCCTGCCATGGTGCCCTTGAGCAAGGCACCGGACATCCCCCTTCCCCCCTCACTCCCATTGCTCCCCGGGCGCTGTACAATAGCTGCCCACTGCTCCTAGTACTAGGATGGGTTAAAAGCAGAGAACACATTTCACTGTGGGTGTTTCTCAATCGCGAGTAAAGCTGCTTCAGAGCCACTATTTCAAGCATACTACGTCATCGAGTGCCGCCGAAGTACTGTTCCAATCTCCAGTATACTTGGAAATCTACCGAGCCCGGCGTACTCCGTTTGGAGAAATATCGAGTCTGCACATGAGTAGACTTCGCGGTCTTAAAATCCCCACAATGCTTTGCGCACGGACCAATTTCCCCAAATCTGTGGCGGAAGATGTAAGGCGGGGCCTCTCATATGACGCACACCTGCACACTTGCTAGCGTGTTCCACACTTCGTTTTCCGAATGCCAGGAAGTATTCTTGACTCGCTTCTGAAGCAAGATGCTCGGCAGACATGTGCTACCAAGCAAGTGTACTCGCGATTGAGAAACACCCTGTGTGTGCTGTGTGCTCTGCATGTGTGACCATTAAAGAGGGTTTCATCCCTCCCAATTCTAATTCTAGGGGAAATCGAATAAAGAAAGAGACTGCATTTATTTTTGTTTTCTTTTGTTTGAAAACCTTCTCAAATGGGAAAACACATGAAATTCACCATATTTTTTTCTGAAAGGTAATACGTTCATATACAAATGATCCAGCATTTGCATTGCAACCTGGAAACCCTTTCCCATTTGAATAATTTCTAATTTCTATGCTTTCAGTCATGGTCAATTCGCTCTATTCGCACATTCTGAAACAGACATGCCAACTGACATGGCAAATTAAGCTGTTATATATCCCCATTGTGAGTTTCTCCATTCCCAAAGTATTTTTTCTTTGTTTTAATTATTTCTAAAGCGTTATTTCCTCAGGTTGTTCTGTACATTACTTTCGCTTTCTCTTTCAGATACTGCTGGAGGAAGGAAAGGTTGGTTATCTCGACGCTACGCCTTTTAAGAAAATACAGTCTCAGATGACATGCAAGCTGTTATTGCTTCTCTTAAAGAGTGTGGTCGCAATATCCTGCGGCAGAGCCTCAAGAGCATGCAGGGATGTCTCTGTGCATATCTATGCCTTCACTCAGACTCAGGCCTCCGTTCATGGTCAACTCTAATATATCGCGGGACATCTTATTAAGCATTAATTCACTGAATTTCAAATTATCTTTGGAGCTAATTATATCCTAAAATTATACAAGTTTAAATGTGACATACAATTCAAATCATTAGAGAAAAAATTGATTGGCGTGGGGAAAAAAATATATTTTGCTGATAGCGACTACCTTTGCAAATGCAATCAACACGCTTTAATTATGTGTGTGCATGTTGCGATTAAATAGAAACATTTGTATGAATCTCACATACTGCATGCACAGGAGGCCTTATTAAAAAATGTCCTCCAAATGTCATGAGAGATGCATTGGACCACATTAATGAAAAAGTGATAATGTAATGTTTGTCAGATCCATATGGAATAATCTTTTTCCTGAGCAAATCCAATCTGAGAATGCATGCGACTCAAACAGTTGGCAGGCAGTTTGGGCAGTAGCATACCTGTCATAATGGATTGTCTGGATTCCTGCAGATGGGCCACAAGCAGTGCTGCGTTTACTGTCAATACACAGCCAACACACATACATGGTCTGTTTCCTCACAAGAAAGAGAAATCTGATTTCAGTCTGTATACTGGCAACACATTTTAATTTCATGCCTAAATCCATCTCAACCCTATCCACACACACGCGTCTGGATACACGACAAGACTTGTATAGCCTGGGCTTAAGAAGCTGTATGCCCATAACTGCCAGATATAGATGTGGTCAGAGAGTCTTAGGCCCTAGCCACACAGTGACGAAACGGGTCGTATCCGCTACAGTTCTCTATCTTATAGACGGTTCGGCCACACGAGGCCGACAGGGAAATGCGAATAACGATAATGATAACGATAACGATAACGATAACGGGTCCCAAGGTGGGTAGATCTGCGGACGCAACGCTCTGGGGGGCCAAACGGCTCTGTGATTACGCCCTATAAGATCATTTCCTGATAACGAAAATACTGACGGGCTGTCAGGAGAGGGGGAGGAAAATAGAGGCTCCGTGTATTATTCTTATATTATTATATAGAGTCGTTATTCATTTGTTTTAAAGCTCAATAAATAACAAAGAA